TTTTTTTTTTGAGAATATGTAGTTAAAAAATAGAGAAAATGTTATGAATTCACATGTAGAATTATTTTATTGGTAGAATGTATGATTAAAAATGAATTTAGAGAAAATTTTAAGGACTCTCTAATTCAAATGAAATGCCCTTGCTATTTTAACGTTCACATTATAAGCTTCAATTATGTAGGGACTCAAACTCACTAATTTAAATCGGTGTTCGCTTCATATAAAAATCAATTTTTTAACATATTTTAATAAAAATTAATGAAATGTGTTGTTAAAAAGTTGTAAATACTTTGAAATGTATGGTTAAAATTTATTGTTGACTTTGATTTAAATTTTAATCAATTAATTTTCCCCACTATTTAGGAGTGAAGCGGTCTGGGTTGACCTATTTTTTTCTCATTTTCAAAACAAACCATTTGAAACGTTTTAAGATTTTCTCAAACCTAAACAAAATGATTTGGTCTGATTTTAAATCGCGTTTTGACCATATTTTTTTTTCTTATATACTTTATCATCATTAGTTTATTGATTACAAAATATTTTCATAGCTTATTTGCGATAATATAAAAAACTATATATATCAAAATATAAATTTAAATACCAACAAAACCAAACAAAAGACATTTTAAATACCCAAAAAAATAAAAATAAAAATTAGCTAATGATTGGGAACTTTCACCGGCACCGTGGTTGCCATTGACTTGATAGACGGAAATCACTAGTACCGTAGAGCTTTTGTGGTTCTTAGAATATCTCCAATGGTGGTTTAAATTGATATCTCTAAAATTATTTTTACATCTTTATTTACGTTCTGATATATCTAAATTCCAATTCTGCTTCAACAAAAGGATTTTAAAAAAATGGATGCAAGTGGGTTAGTAGATTTTGTCTCTTGTGGGTTTTACACGTCGATGTAAAAAATATGTAAATTACCGAAAAACGTACTTTGCATTTCTTCGTTAAAGAGGTTTTCAATTACTTTAGAAATATAAATCACAATTTAGATCTAATTTAAAGCATCATTGGAGATACTCTTACGGTGTGGAAACTAAAGACGAAGTGCAAGGGTTTCAACTTAGGTGTATGCACTACGTCGTATGGATAGATAGGTATTTGGTATAATTATTGGTACTTGTTAATGGTTAATCAACCAAATTACTCATTATCGTATTAATTTTTTGATATTTATANNNNTCGTATTAATTTTTTGATATTTATATTTTATATTGTAGGTTAGGATTGTAATTTATCTGTCCAATGTCTAGTAGAAATTTTTTTTTTTTTTAATTTTTAAATGAACCGATTTGATTTCAAATCACCGTAAAAATTCCAAAATCTAAACAGTTGAATTTAGTTCAAAACAATTTCATTGGCTGATCCACGTGACATCAAATCGAGATGATTTGTGCTTACAACCCTACCATTTTTTTTCTGTTTCTCTCGAGTTTTGGAATTTCATCTTACAAGCATACAATAATATTACACGTAAATCCAAAACTTTTTTTTTTTACCTCTTAGCCACACATTCTTCAAAAAGTCACTATTCCAAAATATATTTTCTCCCGAAATAACATTAGCCCACATACAAGTTGGTCGCATGACTTAAAAGAATCCCCCAAAATGGTCCATAACCTTAGTGTCAACTCAAATTTGACAGACATTATGATATTATATCAAATAATTGATTTTAGTATTTTCAAATGTTGGATTATTGCCACATAAAGTGAAGGAAGTTTCACTCAAATTATGTTCTATTTTAATTTGGAAAAAATAATTTTATTGAGAAAAAGATATAAATCAAGACCAAAAATCATTTATAAGGTGATTGATGTATGTGCTACATTATACCTACATACAACAATGCGCCAAACCTAGCGGTAGTCCACATGTAAGTCACAAATTTTGGCGTGTACATCTACTAACCGTAATAAATTAATTGAAAAAAAAAAATAGAACTCTTTCTTCTATACACGCTGCACAAACTTTTGAAACCCTATTTAACAAGAAAAATTAACCTATGAATGATGGTAAATACTACGTAATCTATTATCGACAAATCTTTTACGTAAAATCGAACAAAAATTAAAGAAAATGTTATACAATTCATGAGTGCTAGGAGTGGCTCTTTGAGTGGACAATATCATGGGATTATATAAACAGATTGAAAGCTGTGTGCCTAACAAAAAGTTGGGGACAACTTACTAATGGGTAATGGCACATGAAAGATCCAATAATTGGAAAAGGTGGAATGAGCACTAATTTTGGCATCCTAAATGGTATATACTGAAATAAAAGCTACACTTGTAACAAATAGTTCACAAACCACTAGAAAAAACTTATTGGAGCCCATAATATGCATCACAAACTGGGGTAGGGTGGGGTAGGTAGGGTGGGTGGGTGGGGAGGGGGAGATTTCTAGAGGTTGCTCAACTTATGTTCTAATTCCTCGTGAGTCACTAAACTTTATTTTGTCACACTTAGTCCACTTAATTTCAGTGTTCTAAAATGCGTAATGCGTTGCGAAGCGTCGAGGCCGAGAATCAAGAATCACAAGTTTAGGCGTGTCAATGCGAAGAATAAGCGTTATAATGCGTTTCGTATTTTTAAGGCATTAAATATATTTTTATATAAAAAAAAAAAATTTTTTAATATATAAAAAAAAACAGATTTAAAAAAAAAAGAAAAA